AGTTATAATGCACACCTTTTAGATTTTTGATATTTATTAAAATAAACTGTAAATTCATATCTACACTGTAAAAAACATCCTGTAGAAATTACAGTAACTAACTGGCAGCAGTTCGCTGTAAAAAAAAAAAGAGATGTAAATCAACTGTAGAGAACTGTAAATTAACAGTTCATTACTGGCAGCAACCACAGCTGCTTGGGAAAATTAAAAATATGTATAAGTTATACAGTTGTCATGTATATGTATAAGTTATACAGTTGTCATTGTTTTTTTTTTCCATTGTTATTTAATGGAACTGCTAATTTTACAATTTGTGCATATAGTTTTACAGTAACTGAAAAGTGAAACAAACGCTACAAAATAAAATTACATTAAGTTACCAGCGAACTGCTGCCAGTTAGTTACTGTAATTTCTACAGAAGTGTTTTTACAGTGTAGATATTAATTTACTGTTTATTTTAATAAATATCAAAATCTAAAAGGTGTGCATTATAGTTGACACCTACATGAACACTTTACAGTTGGTTTTATGACGGTGAGTCATTCTCCTCACATGCTATTGAGCATTAAATTATGGCATATTTTCTGCTTTAGCCCATATTCGTAAAGAACAAAATAGCAATATTTACATATGTTTTGACAGTTTATTTTAATAAATATCAAAAATCTAAAAGGTGTGCATTATAACTGAGACCTACATGAACACGTTACAGTTGGTTGTGTTACTGTAATTCATTCTCCTCAAATGCTATTGAGCTTTAAATTACGATATATATTTTGTGTTTGAGCCCATTCAGTAGTGAAATAAACAACATATTTATATATGATTTGACAGTTTATTTTAATAAGAATCTAAAATGTACTGTACATAAGTATAAAATGTATGGACTGTCCTTTAAATATACCACATCTAAAGCGAAAAAAAAAACAATAATGACAATAATTAATGACAGGATGACAAACACAAATGTCCGTTGTTTTATTTAGTTTTTAGTAAATACAAATATCAAAAATCTAAAAGGTGTGCATTATAACCGAGAACTACATGACCACTTCACAGTTGGTTGTGTTACTGTAAGTATTTTTCCTCAAATGCTATTGAAGTTAGAAAAGTGTATACCAATGTCGTATACAACTTTAGAGATGGTCCCTAGATTTGCGAATATCGAATGCCAGGAAATTACACCTCTGACAGAGCAAGATACATAGAAAAACTGAGCCGTATTGTCCGTACAGTATCTGTGACTTTACAAACGACCCAAAGAAATGCCAGTGTCGTTTCCTTTATTTGCCTACTTTCATCACGTATATAATTATTTATTTATGTATTTAAACAAGAATACGTGTATTTATGCACACATTTATTTATTTATTTGTGTATTTATTTATTTATTTTTGCAGGTTTCGTCCTCCATAGTCTACTGTTTTTAACCACTAGAGGTCACTGCCAATCATACATTTTTATATCTGTGAGATTCTGAATATAGGGACTATGGCTGTAATATGATGTGATTTAAACCATTGACGATACATTGGTTGCTCAAAACAATTTATTTGTTTGTATTATGTCTTAAATGTTATTATATGCTATTATTTTTTATAAGCTGCTGTTGAGTTCTGTCACGACGATCACACGTTTAATCTAAAATCGCTGATTTTGTTCTGTTGAAATCCGAAATGTAGTGTGGCTGAAAGTTTTTTTTTTTTTTTTAAACTTATTAAACAATTAGAATACAATTTAGAGTTGAAATCCTATAATATTAAACAAAATACTACACACATTATTTTTCTTTTTTTTCTCCATGTAATTAAATCTGAAAAAGAAAGGAATCAAAGAGATACCAAAACAATTGGAATAACCCTATTTTAAATGTAGGTTTTATGTTTTAATAAGTATAGTTTTGTGCATAATTTAAGTCTGTAAACAACATTTATAATTATCTTCGATACGGAGCTGCGACGGGACTTTTATTTTGAAACAATTAGACTTTTTCACGTTTCTTACTTCACACTTGTGCTTTTGCTGTCGGCGTTTAGTGAGAGTTTTCCGGAATCTCAGGAATTTGGGCTGTTCGTCTCCTCAACCTCCTGCGGTACCGAACTCAAGATTTTCTGCGACTGAAAGGTAGATCGAAACCATTAATCCAATTCATTTCTGTGCTTCAGGTCACAGGTCAGGTTTTATCTAATGCGCGACTTCTGCTTGTCTGAAGATTAGCGTGTAATTCGTATCCTCTGTGAATGAGCTCCGTTAACTGAGGTGTGTCACCGTGCGCAGGCTAGAGAGAAACCAAACCCCACAATCCTACATCAATCAACAACATTTACATTACAGATTCTCACTTTTCACGCGATAAGCCTAAGAAAAGATGTGTTTTTCCCTTGCCAAAGTCGGTTTCTGATTACGTACTGGGGGAACGAGGTGCTGTTTACTTTAAACAACACTATTAAAATCGTTGTTCTGTTCGAATAAAACGCAAACTCATCTTATCAGCACTAACCATTTTATTGTTTAATACTGTTATACTGTTTTTACTGCGGATTGTAAAAAAAATGTATTCTATGTTTGTGATGAGAATAATGACTAGTAATAATAATGACTATTAATAATTAGTTAATGACTAAATGTAAGTGTTCACTCCAACCTTATGAAGTTCTTTCTTTCATCTCGTTTCTTCAGTCTCTGCTCATTTGATTAATATTGATTTATACGGTCTTTGTATGTCCCTGAGTTCTTATCTTTAGGTCTGGGGCATTTCATCATGTTCGAGTCTCAAACTGTGACTTCACTTCACTTCAGTGAATGTGTGTGTGTGTGCATGCTACATTTTACTGTATTTCTACCAGATAAAATATGTCATAACTAGAAAAATGTACAAGAAGTTACAAGATTTTATTAGTTTACATCATTTTTTTCAGGTCTATAAATCATGATTTTAATATTGGGCTATACCTCACTTTTCAAGTGGGAACCCTGGGAGAGAAAAAAAAAACAGTTCTTGTCTTGAGGGGTTTATTTAAAGATCTTTTAAGATTATTGTAATGTTTGTTTTCTCTTATATTTCAGTCGTATTGAGGCCCCCGGTAGAAAATCTCTGCTCTAATTAAATAAATATTTGAACTGCATTCAACAAAAATATGGGTATCTAAATAATTACTTTATCAGAATTAAAATGAGTAAACACAGCCTATGTTTTAGTGCTCTTAACTTAAATGGCTGGTGCAGGTTTGTGGTGAGACTGATGCTCGCAGACTGGAACTGACTTCCTGTTCCTGTAGAGCTGTGAAACCTTTTTATCGACCGCTTTCTCGTGCATATAAGCTCATTTCGCGACATCAAGATGGACCATTATTTAAATGCCTATAGTTGGTCTTTAATGTAAAGTGGTAACATCTATATTGTAAATAAGTCCTTTTAAAAAAATCTTTATATTTTTTCAGGTCTGGTTCGAGCTCAAAATGTCTCAAGCCGATAAAATGAAGGTAAGGAAATGAGAGCAGATGGGTTGATGTTGCGCTTGGTTTTAGTTTTATGTAGAGATTGATGTGCAAGGAAACTGGGGATTTTCAAAAAATGTTGTCAGATCTGAATTGAATTGCATTTGAGAGAATCAAGTATTTCAGAGAGCAGTGTATTAAAACTTATTAAATGTGCATATTCTGCTCTCTTATGCTCAGCAGGGACAGTTTACAAACCCAGAGACTCCTGGGTATGTGGGATTTGCGAATTTGCCAAATCAAGTACATCGGAAATCAGTGAAAAAGGGCTTTGAGTTCACTCTCATGGTGGTGGGTAAGTAGCATTGATGTGATGTTTGGAATGTGCCTTGTTATAAACATGGAAATATTGCCAATAAACATTAATCACACTCTTGAACAACTCAATTGACCTATCGGTAAGCCCCTCCCCTCAAACTCAGATGAGCCAATGGCAGTCGAGTATCAGTTGCCCGGGGAGTGGAACGCAGACATCTTTAGGTTTCAGCGCCATAGAGAAACATTGGAAGATCCGAAGCTCGCATCGGTTTAATGGTGTTTATGCTACGAAAATGGAAAAACAATGTGCCTAGGGTACTTGTAACACGAATTCCAGGTATCCTGAGAGGATAGGCAATGTAATTTAAATCCAACCTAAACAGAGCAAAATGTCCCTAAGCATTCAACCCCAATCCCAATGAAGACAAAAACGTTCATTTTCTGGTTGTCATACTCTCATTAAGTTACACTTTTCATCTGCTCAAGCAGAACCTTAATGTCATCTTGTGCTTCAGCAAGGTATCTCTGGCTAAAACTAGCGTTAAAGTTAGTGAGTCCATGCTAACGTACAAACCTATATAGCAAACTGTTCTCACGTCATGTACCGTACAGTGAAAGTCAAAAACACATAAACGAAGGTCTATATTAGAGTGCCTCTCCATATTAATCTGGTTAAATGTAAATTAATTTAATCTTACTCTGCAGTATATGAACGGTGTTGATCCGGAATGTTGTCATTGCGATCGTGACGACCGTAACATAATTCTCCCGTTTGCATTGCTTCTTAGCCGAGGGCAATAATAATAGTAATAATAAATTATAAATAAATAATAAATAATATTATAATATAAATATAATATTATAATAATCTGCTACTCTCGGGTGTATGTCACTATACGGAAGAAAATATCTGTCGTTTTGTCGCAACTTTAACATTAGAATTAGGTTAAGAACAATTCACATGTTTTGAATTAAGTTCTCCTGTGCATGTAAATATAAACATTCTATGCGATTTATAATTGAATTTCTAATGTTTCCTTGCTATGTTTATTTCGCAGACAAGCAATACTCCATTAGTTTTCCCATGTAATTTATATTATAACTATGAGAAACTGTTCAGGTCTGTCTTTTTTCTTTTTTTTTCTGCAGTATTAGCGTAAAGTGTGCAGCATAACTTTGTGAACATAAGGAGAAATGTCACATCCTAGAAACATCAGGGACAGCAGCTTCCATATTTGGAGGGAAAACACATTTTAGTAGTAGAAAATGTAGTACTTTATGTTTAAATGTTTATTGCGTCGTGAAAATGACTGTGGGAACAAGAGTCTGGCTGCACCACAGCGACGATGAATCCTAAGTGGAGTCCTTTTAAGACGGCTGGGACTCTCCCCTCAGCCCTGTGGGTGTGTGTGTGTACAGCTGTTGACACACAAATGAGATCTGCTGTGGGGGAGGGTGACCGGGAGCTACCCTCTCAGCAGAGGCCCATTGTACAGTCATCCCATCATCTTAAAATAAATCAGAGGAATGCAGAACCTCCGACCGCCAGCCCTTTCACTGCTGCACAGCTTCAGCAAATGATGGAGGGCAGCTCGACTGAGACACAGAAACAAAACACTGACTAGAGGAACAGATGATTGCACAAAACGATAAAGTCTACGATGTTTGCTTTGACATTATGCTGTTTATTCTTTGCGAAGGGAAATGTTTTTGTAGTTGATAGAATGACTTGGTGTTTCCTCATGAGCACTTCTGCTGTTTTCAGGTGAGTCTGGTTTGGGGAAGTCCACTCTGATCAACAGTTTGTTCCTCACTGATCTCTACCCAGAGAGGGTCATTCCTGGTGCTGCAGGTGAGAGTTTCAACACTGAGGAATTTACATCAGATGTTCAGATTCTTATCAAAAAGTGGTTTGATGTTTATGAGGCAGTTTTGCACAGAAGGTTGGATCTCAGCCTTGTTTTTTGAGTCTTATTTGATGTGGCTTTTATATGTGCTCTTGTCATACAGAGAAGATTGAGCGCACGGTGCAGATCGAGGCTTCGACGGTGGAGATCGAGGAGCGTGGAGTGAAGCTGCGTCTCACTGTGGTCGACACGCCTGGATACGGTGATGCCATCAACAGCCAGGACTGGTGAGGATTACTTTGATGGTCATTATAAATGTTAAAGGGGTCATATGATGTTGCTAAAAAGAACATTATTTTGTGTATTTGGTGTGATGAAATGTGTTTATGCAGTTTAAGGTTCAAAAAACACATTATTTTCCACATACTGTACATTATTGTTTCTCCTCT